AGAAAAGGGTATATTCGCTGGATTTTATTTTAACTGAAACATTCTTTCAGCGAAAATAGCAAAAAAATGTTGCAAGCAAAAATAAAGTATTTTACAGTAATTAATTTATTCTGAGCATGCGCAGACGTTTTGTCAATGTTGCCGGGAGAGGCAATTTTTGATAAAATCGTGAAAAAGACCCACTTGGGATTTTCAGATCTGGAAAAAAAATTACGTGCATACTCGGAGGGGACATGTTCATCAACCTGCCAAGTTTCACTGATATCTGCTGTAGAATTTCTGAGAAAATGTTGGAGACGGAATTATGGACATAACCTGAATTAGTAGTCCCCTTTTCAGGCTGCGCCTGAACGGGGACTAAAAAACAATTATAGATATCTTACCTCTTTTCAAGCTATTACAAATGTACATTGCAACCAAAAGAGCATTAAATTTAATTGAATGTGAAATTTCCAGCAAACTTGTTTGAATATATGAATAAGAATTTGCATGATATGAAAATATAATGTCATTGTATAGCAGGGCTTGATATTCATAGAGACATCAAAGTATGATGCAATGAAAACAAATAATGAAATAGTGTAACATAAACATACCTGCCATTCCATTCTTCTTTCAGGGGCAAATATTTCTTGTCTAGAAATGTCTGCTCTGTTCCATGCTAATGCTAGATTCAACTGGGTTTGTACTGAACCAGATCTCGCTATCATGAAAACAAAGGAAACACACATTGATAAGTTATGTAACTGAAAAATAGCATTCATTTATAAATGCAAAAATCTATATTGTGGATATGTGACATCCCTATACAGGGATCTCGCCAGCCCAATGGGAGTGCCAGTCACTCATGAATATTAATGAGCTATATGAATATTAATGAGCCTGGTCATTATTGGAGTCACAATTTAGAAGAATTTAAGTTTGAAAATGAAACGTTCTCAAAATGTAAATGCTGCAGACTAAAAAAGATACAAATAAATTATTGTTGCAATTAATGTCTATTGTAAATGGTTTAATGAATTTCGTGAATATCACAAGCTTTTTACCCCAAAAACACTCTCCTTTAATAAATCAACCATGTAATTATTTGGCAGATTGATGTAATTTATTATTCATACCATCAGCTTCTAAAACATTTGCAGTAATAAGTGAACAAATAAAAGCTTCCAATAGATCATCAAAGTTAAGATGTGGCAAAACTCCTTCACAAAACTTACTTTTTGAAATAAAAGTAAAATTGGACTTGAATTTATCGGGAGCGATTATTTTTGATCACTCGATCGCTTCGAAAAAAAAACACAGACCCCCCAATGATGTTTGTTACGAATTAGTTGACGGCATATGTCCTTTGAGTCAATGGGTCAAGAATGCCATTAACCAATCAGAAGGCCACATCGTAATGCAGGTAGAACCCAAAGTTTTCCAAATGGTAGCGATCATAAAAATAACATTGCGAAAGAAAAGCGATGTCGTAGCACAATGTGTTGGAATCTGGATGAAATTGATTTTGAATTTTAGCTTTCAATTTAAAGACTGTGTCTATTGTCAGAAAGTATTTACTTAAACAAACAAAGAGGTGTTAATTTTACAAAAATGATTTAGTATTGTTTATAAACCGCCACCAAATCGTGCGACTAGGTCGCACAATTGTTTACAAATGATAATCCACGACTGGCAGGATGCGTGCTAGTCAGTACACAATTATAATAACACTTGAAAAATGGTCTGAAGCATTTCCGCAGTGGTCGCTAATTTTGAGTTCCAGTCGGGCCTATTATATGTACCATTGTTACATCAGTATACGCTAGATATAACATGGACTACATCTCCGAACACTGTACCCTAGATATAACATGGAGTATATCCCTGAAACTTGTTCAAACATAAGGCTTTCAAGTTCAAAAGTGATTTTTATCATTGCTGGAAATATCTGAAATGATCATTCTTCTTACCTTTCAATAACGCATATAAGATCGTCCCATCAATGTCTCTGTGGTCAGCATCTTGAATTCGGAATACAGTGATCTACAAAGCGTTAGAAGGGAATTAATTTTATTATCCCACAGGTAAGTTGAAATTAATGGATCTAATAATTAATGGATATTACATGTACAATTGTCACATTACATAGTACATGTACCATTGTCACATTCACATAGTACATGTACCAGTGTCACATTTACATAGTACATAATACCATTGTTACATTTACATAGTACATATACAATTGTCACATTCACATAGTAAATGTATCATTGTCACATTCACATAGTACATGTACCATTGTCACATTTACATTGTACATGTACCATTGTCACATTTACATAGTACATGTACCATTGTCACATTTACATAGTACATGTACCATTGTCACATTCACATAGTACATGTACCATTGTCACATTTACATAGTACATAACACCAATGTCACATTTACATAGTACAGGTACCATTGCCACATTCACATAGTACATGTGCCATTGTCACATTCACATAGTACATGTACCATTGTCACATTCACATAGTACATAATACCATTGTCACATTTACATAGTACATATACAATTGTCACATTCACATAGTAAATGTATCAGTCACATTTACATAGTACATGTATCATTGTCACATTTACATAGTACATGTACCATTGTCACATTCACATAGTACATGTACCATTGTCACATTTACATAGTACATGTACCATTGTCACATTTACATAGTACATAATACCATTGTTACATTTACATAGTACATATACAATTGTCACATTCACATAGTAAATGTATCATTGTCACATTCACATAGTACATGTACCATTGTCACATTTACATAGTACATGTACCATTGTCACATTTACATAGTACATGTACCATTGTCACATTTACTTAGTACATAATACCATTGTCACATTTACATAGTACATATACAATTGTCACATTCACATAGTAAATGTATCCATTGTCACATTTACATAGTACATGTATCATTGTCACATTTACATAGTACATGTACCATTGTCACATTCACATAGTACATGTACCATTGTCACATTCACATAGTACATGTACCATTGTCACATTCACATCACATTCACATAATACCATTGTCACATTCACATCACATTCACATAATACCATTGTCACATTCACATAGTATATGTACCATTGTCACATTCACATCACATTCACATAATACCATTGTCACATTCATGTCACATTCACATCACATTCACATAATACCATTGTCACATTCACATCACATTCACATAATACCATTGTCACATTCATGTCACATTCACATCACATTCACATAATACCATTGTCACATTCACATCACATAGTACATGTACCATTGCCACATTTACATAGTACATAATACCATTGTCACATTCACATCACATAGTACATGTACCATTGTCACATCACATTCACATAATACCATTGTCACATTCACATCACATAATACCATTGTCACATTCACATCACATTCACATAATACCATTGTCACATTCACATCACATTCACATAGTACCCTTTTCACATTCACATTGCATGTGGCAGCTCAGATAATTTGTTTCCCCACACAGAAATACGGAGATATACATACAAGGTTTCTTCTACTTATACAGGACTCCACCCAATCAATGTATTCCTCCACAGTTTTCTGAGTCTCATCGTTTATTCTCAACTTAAATGCTCTGACTATCCTTCTTCGTATGTCTTCCCTGTCAACATCCTTACTAATATTACTGTCACTGCTGAATTAAAAATAAAAACATCCAGATTAGATAATTTGCTCATATCATAATGAGGCTGGTATGATGTCATTGTAATTGTTGTTATAACAACACATCAGCATTTTACCTTATTAGGAAATTTGAAATCTATATAATTAATGACGAAATACTCACAGTGATTTGAAATACTATTATGTCTTTTTTACATTAATCAATATTATATATCTTACATGTATAAATAAAATATGTTTTTTAAATGCAGCCCGGCAATCCCTTGTCTATTATCAACAATTTTTCGTTGCCAGAGTGATTCACATCCCAAATTCCCCCGGCATATCTATTATCTAACCTATCTGTTAAACTGAATTAAAGATATCATCAAAAAATCATAGAAGATTGGGTAAAGATCGATCATTGTTGGCCTCAAAATTTGTTCACTTTGAAACACATTAGGGCAATATTAATCGACTGTTCTTTGCGTTATTCTAAAAAAAATTGTTTCATGAAATATATGAAAGTTTCAAACTCAAGTTATGTAAGGGTGTGGGAAAATTTTTGTTCAAAATAAATGGAAGATGTACTGTAGTACATCTATGAATGATGAAAGATGATTGTTCAAATTGTACAGTTTTCTAAATTTCAATCATGTAAATGCACTTTCCCTCAAATCTGCGACTCTATATACCAAGAGGTTGCATACATGACCTCAGTAAAACATCACAGTTGTCATAACTTATGATAGTAAAAATAAAACAAAATGTTGGGATGACAAACTGGAGGACACACTAAGAAATCCCTCAATTGCCAAGATATAGTGGTTAGGCAATGGCTGAATAAACAGAACTTGGCTGGCAAAGATGCTTACCCATCAGTTGGCTTTGTTTTCTTGTATGCATAGGCAATGATGTCAGCAGCTCTGCCACTGCCTTCAACTATTACTGCTGGCATATTCTTTTCTGTTGACTCATACACAGTCTTCAATGTATTAGGACCACCTTCCACAACAACCAAAACAACAGGTACTCTTTCACCTTGAAAATAAATTGCAATTATTATATAATAGATACATGTATCTATCTATCTAGCTCAATATCATCAATATATCTATAAATATCTAAAGGACATTCAGCAAGTCAATCAAGTGAAGTGATGCAGGTTTTTCTTTCTAGAAAAAATGAACAAGAGAGAGCACACATAGGCAAAATAGCGACCAAGCTAGCACCATTTTAATGGTGTATCTATTCCCATTGAAATATTTTATATAATTTTAGTGTATTGGCACATTGTCAGCTAGTGTTGCGGGAAGTTTTCACAAAGAAAAATATATTTGAGAAAGATTTCATGTTGCATGGCAGCACAGAAGTGCGCAGTTCTAGAAATATATTTATGACTTGAAAGTTCAATCCACAATTCGGTAAGAAGGCACCAGCCGAGAGTATCAGGGTGCTGCACCCCTGTTCCCCAGTTTAGAAAACCCCTGTGATGAATGTATACTATGGTGAAAGTGGCTTCCAAATATTTTATAAAACACTAAATGTACATATAGTGAACTTGTTTAAAAACCATCTACTCCATTTATAGCAACTGTTATTATTCTATAGGTTACAGAGAGTCATCACTGTCTGCATGCAGACTGTCTACCTTTTCAAGGTAACTTAAGTATGATTGTGTTGACATTGTTCGTCATACTATCACAATGTCACTGATCTATTTGACTATCCTGTCTAGTAACTACATGTAGCATATATACATTGTGTCTTGAGTACAACAATTACAGTTAAAGTGCATACTGACTTTGCATATAAAACATCACATGAGAATGATGCTGTTTTAGCTAGAAAAATTAAGGTAAATTACCAGTAGTTATCCTGCCCTCAGATCACTGGTACTGAAGGGTGTTAGCCTGCCCTCACATCACTGGTACTGGAGGGTCATATCCGTTAGACAAATATATCTACAGTGTATCTCACTTTGAGGACAAACAAAGCCTTCTAACTTAACCAGTGTCTAATGTTTACAAAATATAAGCTTAAATTCAGACGCCTCTTATATTCATATTTGGCAATTAATTTCACATAACCCATCCACAATCTCAACAGTTGATGGTTTATATATTGGTTAGAAGATGATACCTCACAAATTGGGAATGCAACTTTAATGCAAATAATGGACATGATTTTACAACATCTATATACACTCACAATGCTTATCTTCCATGTCGCCAACCTGCTTATCAGAAATAAACTTTTCATCAGCAATGTATTTTTCCAGTGCAGCTCTGAGTTCAATATCAGCTCCATATTTTCCACATGTGCCGTTGTCTACTAAGATGAAGTGTGTGTGGTTGCTGTCCAATGCAGCTGTATTACGACCTCCTTTCAGATCTTTAGCAGGATAATATGCAGGCCATAGATGTTTATTCTAAATTGTAAAAGAAATTATATAAATATTTGGCATGTGAAAGACAAAACAAACAGTACAAAAATACAACATAAAGCAGAAGCCTGAAAGTAAGAACAAGACATCGCACATTATGCATCTGT